GGGAATTCGAATTACACTCTCTTAGTCGAAAATGTGGTTTATATAAAATTACAGGCTTGAATAAAATAATGTAATACACTCGGTGCTAGCCGTATATCTCACTCACTGTCCTACGACTCAGCGCGCAACGCTCCAATCTCGCAAGAACAAAAGACATTCACAATTATAATTTAGATATCGCTTCGGCGGATGGCGCTTCTTACGTCGCGTAGATAAGGTAGTAACCTTACTATAACACCCCCCTTTCTTATAAAGAAAGAACACTCAGCCACAAAACAAAAAGAAAACAACGGTACAACTTAAAGAATTGTAAAAAAAAATAAAGATAATTAGTGTGTCACGTAATCTCCGTATCTTTGTGGGGGTGCTCTAGTTCTTTCCGATCTACGTAACTGTGGTATATTCATCGGTCTTTCAACTACTATTTCTTGTGGCTGTTGGAGCACTTCCCTATTTTCCCCCTCGGAATTGTAATTTGCATATTTAGAATTATTCCTCTCACCCATGCTGGTGCGTTGTGGAGTACATTTTCCAATCAGTCGTATTTGGTTTATGTGACGTTTCCAAATTCGGCCATCATCTAGATGAATTAAATAGTGTAGTTTTCCTACGCGTTTCTTTATTTTACCGAAATTCCATTTATCTCCTTGTAGATAATTTCGGCAACTCACTCTCTCTCCCTCTTTAATTTCTCTGTACTTCTTATCGCCATGTATCTGCGCTGTATTATTACTATCCTTCGTAGGTTTCATTATATCTAACGCACATCTTATTTCTCTATCGAACATTAATTTGGCGGGTGAAGTCTGTGTTGTACAATGGGGTGTAACTCGATATTGCATAAGTAAGTGCTGTAACACTACATCTAAATCTTTATTTTGCGTTTCCATACTTAAAAGAGATTTCTTCAAGGTTTGTACAAAGCGTTCAGCCTGCCCGTTGGTGGCTGGATTGTAAGGTGCTGTTAACTTATGCCTTATACCGTTTTGTTGTAAAAATTTTTGAAACTCTGATGATACAAAGGTACGACCGTTATCAGATATTATTTCTACCGGAAGTAGAAAATCTGGAGAAAATCTCGCGACATTTCTTAATGGTCGTTTCTGCAGTAATATTATTGACTACGTGTACTTCCGGCCATTTAATGTACGCGTCTACTAGTATCAAGAAATTATGGCCTTTGAATGGTCCCGCGAAATCGACATGCACGCGTTCAAATGGAAAAGTCGCTGACTCCCAATTATGTTTAATTTTTGGGGGATTATTCTTATTAGCGTTGCGTTCTGCGCAGTTTTTTGTAATTTCCTCTATGTCGTGATCTATACCAGACCACCATACGCGACTACGTGCTAACATTTTCATTTTAACAATACCAAAATGTGCGCTATGTAATTCCTGTAATATTCTTCCCTGTAATACTTTTGGTATTACTACTCGATGTCCATGTAATATTATTCCCTGTTGTACGCTATATTCTATTTCATCGGTACGTGATTTGTATTTTTTATTAGTTTTTTTACCGCTTTGTAAGGCTTCCAATATTTGACGTAAGTGCGTATCTTGTTTTGTAGCTGTCACTAATCTTTCGAACGTAACAGGTAAAGATTGAATCGTATCAATTTGAAAAGCATCGACTACATCGTATTCGCATCTATCCGATTTTGTAATCGGTAATCGAGATAAACAATCCGCGTTACAATGTAATTTCGTATTCTTGTATTTAATTGTATAGTTAAAACTGCGTAAAAATAATGCATAATGCTGCATGCGCATTGCACTATATATCGGTAAGCTTTTTGATGGAGCAAAAATATGGACTAATGGCCTGTGGTCCGTGTACAATGTAAAACTGTTTCCGTATAAATATTGATGGAACTTCTTTATTCCAAAAATTATGCTGTAAGCCTCTTTATCAATCTGTGCGTATTTCATCTGGGTACTAGTTAGTGTGCATGAGGCGTAATGAATTGCTCTTTCTGTTCCGTCGGGATAGACGTGCGAAAGCACTGCTCCCACCCCATACGGACTAGCGTCTGTGGCTAATATCACATTCTTGAGTCCAACGGAATGGAGTTCCTTTACGTAATAATTTATTTAATGGATATAGGATTGCACTAAGATTTTCAATGAAACGACTGTAGTACGTTACAAATCCAATAAATGCTCTGACTTCGGATACGTTTTTCGGAATTGGCATATGCTCTATTGCTTCAATTTTCTTTTTATCCTTATGTATTCCATGACTATCTATGATGTACCCGCAATATTCGATTTTATCCGTAAAAAAATCGCTTTTCTTTAAATTTATTTTTATATTGTATTCATGTAAACGTTTAAATACTAATTCTAGCCTATGTAAATGCTCGGTTTCATTTGTACCTGTAATTTTTATATCGTCAAGGAAAACTGTAACTCCTGGAATATCTTTTAAGATATTCTCTATTTCTCGTTGCCAAATAGCCGGCGCAGACGCTAATCCGTACATTAATCTTGTGGGTTTGTATAATCCCCGATGTGTATTTAATGTTAAGAACTGTTGGTCTTCTTCTCTGACCTCCAATTGTAAGTAAGCCTGTTTTAGATCAATTTTCGAAAATGTTGTACCACCTGCCATTGTAGCAAAAAGCTCATCGATTGTGGGTAATGGATGATTATCTACAATTAAGTTTGGATTAACTGTAACGCTGTAGTCTCCGCATATTCTAACTTTACCTTCTTTTTTAAGAACTGGTACAATGGGTGTAGCCCATTCTGAATTATTAACTTTTATTAGAATTCCGGCAGCTTCTAAATCTTCAATCTCTTTGTCCACCAGTGGCACTAATTTAAAAGGCATTGTACGATGTTTTAGAAAAACTGGCTGTGCATCTGGTTTTAAGGTCAAACGCGCTTTCTTATTTTTAATCGAACTGAGATTTTGTTCAAATAATTTTTTGTATTTCTGTAAGATAGAATCTAATTGCTGTTTTGTATTAACAAATAACAATTCTTCTGGATCAGATTTTAGTGACATTTGTTTTAATACTGCATGATCTAAAAGCTGTCGTAACCATTCTCGACCCATTAAAGGCTTCCTATTAACATTTGTAAGATAGATATTTAACGTGCGCTGTACATTTCTATATTTAACCTTAACTACTATATAACCTACGGTATGTAATGTATTTTTACAGTACGTAATAAGTTGTAATTCAGTAGGATGTATGGTCGAATTTGGAAAAAGTTTAAGCATTTGCGCTTTATTCGCAATTGTCACAGCAGCTCCGCTGTCGACTTCAAAATTAATTAGCTTGTCATTTACCTGTAATTGCGTGACGAATTTATCTCTGAATTCATTTTGTTCAGCTTGTAAGATATTTCCTTTGCATGCCGTGCTAAGAATTTCCTCTAATTGGTAGGTTTGATTTTTATTTTTAAAACAAACTGATTGGAGATGCCCTTTGTTTCCACAAGCCCTGCATTTCGTATCTCGGTTTAATGTACATTGTGTAGCTAAATGTTCCTTTCCGCATCTGTAACAATGAATATTTTTATTATGCTGTATATTACGCGGTGTACTATTTCTTTTTGCATTAATAAATGTAGGTCAGTGTTCGGTCATCTTCTTCTGATGATTTTCGCGAAAAGCCGGTTTCCGTCCTGCTGGTTTCTTAGCGTCTGCGATTTGTACCCCCGCTGTAGTGCCTTGTAGCTGGTCCGTATCTTTTGCTGACATCTCCATACTTGTTGCGAGTTGCACTGCCTTTTCGAATGTTAAGTCCCGAGATTCAAGAAGTCTCGACTGAATTCTCGTACTCTTCATGCCAAAAACGAACTGGTTTCTTAGAGCTGTCTTGAAGTATTGTCCGAAATTGCAAATAATACTTAATTTTTGTATGGCTGCCACATATTGCAATATGCTTTCGCCTTCTTGTTGACGTCGTTGCTGGAATCGGAAGTTTTCTGCGATTTCTAGCGGTGTCGGCGCGTAAAATTCTTCTAACTTTCCGACTAAATCCTTGTAATCTTTCTCGTAAGGATCCTCCGGTGCGCACTTGTTGCAAATTACATCGAAAACTGCAGGTCCGATGTAGTGTAATAGATATGATACCTTATTTTCTGCCGGTACCTTAAATAGTTTAAAAGCTCCTTCTAGTCTGCTTAACCACCGTTTCCAGCTCGTGGTGGAATCGAAAGGCTCGATATGAAAAGTAGCTTGTACATGTGCTTCCGCCATTATCCGTAGTAATGTGAGCGGTTAACAATTTCTTCTCACGTGAATCCTAGTACGCTTTTCTTCAAGAGTCCTCGTCGCCAATTTGTTATGTTTTAGACTTGGGAATTCGAATTACACTCTCTTAGTCGAAAATGTGGTTTATATAAAATTACAGGCTTGAATAAAATAATGTAATACACTCGGTGCTAGCCGTATATCTCACTCACTGTCCTACGACTCAGCGCGCAACGCTCCAATCTCGCAAGAACAAAAGACATTCA